ACTCGACGAAAGCAATGATGTTCGTGATTCTGCACAACTTCTAATTTTTATTCGTGGGACGAATGACTATTTCGAAGTCACAGAAGAGCTTGCTGCACTGCAAAGCATCAAAGGAACAACTACAGGAGAGGATATCTATGAAAAGGTTTGCCAAACTGTGAATGGTTTGGAGCTGAACTGGGCTAAACTAGCCAGTGTGACAACTGATGGTGCTCCGAGCATGGTGGGGTCTAAGAAAGGAGTAATTGCTCGCATTAACCAAGAGATGGACAAACATAACCATTCTCATCCAATAGCCATACCCTGCCTCATCCACCAACAAGCGCTGTGTAGTAAATCACTGAAGTGGGACTCTGTTATGAAAATGGTGGTATCTTGCGTTAACTTCATTAGAGCTCATGCACTAAACCACAGGCAATTTCAGGAATTTCTGTCTGAGCTAAATGTTGACTATGAAGATGTTCTGTACCACACAAGTCCGTTGGCTGAGTCGAGGGAGAGTTTTGAAAGTTTCTATGACTTACTTCCACAGATTACAGCTTTTCTGCTTTCAAAAAACAAAGAAGCACCAGAGCTCAATGATGCAGAATGGAAATGGCACCTTGCCTTTCTGACAGATGTAACAGAGCTACTCAACAGTTTCAATGTGCAACTTCAAGGAAAGGGGAAGCTCATCTGTGATATGCAATCACATGTCAAAGCATTTGAAGTAAAATTAGGCCTCCTCATCAAACAAGTGAAGGAGGAAAACTTCTGCCATCTCCCCACAACTCAAAATCTGTTAGTGGAAAAACCATTGGTTGCATTCCCAAACAAAACATGTGTGGATTCACTGGAAAAATTGCAAAAGGAGTTTCAATTTAGATTTAAAGAGCTTCATCTCCATGAACAGGACATACAGCTTTTCCATAACCCATTTTCTATTGACATTGAAAATGTGGATACAATTTACCAAATGGAACTGGCTGAACTGCAGAATTGTGACTCTCTGAAAGACGCATTCAAGTCAAGCAGCCTTCATAATTTCTATGCATCTCTCCCCTCTGAGACATATCCTCATCTCAGGAACCATGCACTCAAAATGGCAACCATCTTTGGCAGCACTTATGTCTGTGAACAGACTTTTTCCAGAAGGAAACATTTGAAATCTCCAACCAGATCTAGACTAACGGATGCACACTTGCATCACTTGTTACGACTAGCAGTGACAAATATGGAACCGGACATTGACCATCTCATTAGCCAAAAGCAGGCCCATAGTTCCCATTGAAATACTGGCAAGTTTGTTGATTTAACTTTACTTGTTCTTCATTTTAAATATTGTATTTGTTCCCGTTTTGTTTCTTCACTTCAAAATAAGATATATGCAGTGTGCATAGGAATTTGTTCATAGTTTTTTTAAACTATAGTCCGGCCCTCCAACGGTCTGAGGGACAGTGAACTGGCCCCCTGTTTAAAAAGTTTGAGGACCCCTGCCTTAAATAGACGGAGGGGGCGGGGGCGGAGAGAGGGAGGGGTTAGAGAAAAAATTAACATGTCAATGAGTGCGGCGACGCGTGGTCAATTACGCAAGCTTGAACATTAGGGAAGAGGGAGAAAGAACACACTAAATTAAATAACCTAGCAAAATATCGAAATGTTATGTAATACAACACAGAGAGTCGGTCAACACACAATTAACGCATAGCCTGGTCGATTACGTATTTCATAGATTGCTAAGTTAAAATTTAAGTGTGAAAAGTCCAAAGAGAGACAAAACATAAAACAAGAGGAACGGAGACACACAGACAGAGCAGAACATAAGAATGACAAAAAACGAGTGGAGACAGAAAAAATACACTAAATACACAGGCAGAGAGAGAAAACAAAAAAACCCAGAGAGAGAGAAAAAGATAAACTTGAAACTTCCCCGTAGAAAACCAAGAATAAGTCTACATTTGCGACTGCCAGTACGCTCACTCAGGTTAAGGACCAGGCTACAGTCTACATTATACACTGCCAGTACACTCAGTTTAATAACCATTGCTACAGTCTACATCATCCACTGCCAATACGCTCACCAGCGTAAAAACCAGGCTACAGTCTACATTATAGACTGCCAGTATGCTCACCGAGGTTAAGAACCAGGCTACAGTCTACATTATAGACTGCCATTACACTCAATCCAATTAAGAACCAGGCTACAGTCGACATTAGTGTTTTTTCTTGTTTATTATTATTATTTTTATTCACTTTGTTTTATTATTTTTCTTTCAATGTGACTTTACAGAAAGAACCAAATAATAAAAAACCATCCAAGTGTAATTTTGTACAGGGCTCAGTTACATATTTGAGACGTGGTCAGCGGTAAAGGGGTAGTAACTGACCCTGCCGTAACAAATTGGCCAACACCCACTTCTGTACAGGAGGTGCCGCGATTCCTAGGATTTGTTTCCTACTATCAGCGATTTGTATCCCGGTTCGCTACAGTAGTGAAACCCTTGCACGCCCTCACACCAAAAGGGGTGCGATTCTGGTGGGCGGAGGAAGAGGAAGCTGCAATTAAAGCGCTTTTTTCAAGGTTAACTGATGTTCCACCACTAACATATCCAAATTTCTCGCTACCATTCATCCTTAATACAGATGCTAGTGATGTCGGTATAGGTGTGGTCCTGTCACAAATACAGGGGAAAACAACAGAAGTTGTAATTGTGTGGTGGTGGTGGTGGTATTGATGCACACACACGCCAAATCGGCCGACTTACAATACTTACCGGTGTGGGTGATCGTGTCTCTGGCCAGGTTTCCTGAGGGGAGGGGGCTGTGGGACGCGTGTGATCCCACAGAGCCCTATCTCTCTGTGGGAAGCGGTACAAACCTGTTCTGGGCGGTCGTGTGATGTACGCCCAGGGCCTCCTGAGGGGAGGGGGCTGGGGGGCCTGTGTGATCCCACAGAAACCCGCCCCTCGGTGGGAAATCGTATATAAGGTGGGACCCGGAGAGCAGAGAGGCAGTTCGACCCAGCCAAGACGAAGAACCAGTGAAGACTGAAGGCCAGCTAGCTAGACCCTGGGACTCCTCTGACCCGCTGCCCTTTTGAAGGCCGGGCAGAGCAAGCCAGTGGTTGCGACCCCAGAGCCGCGAGGGCCGATGTCCTTCTAAGGGCCGGACTCGTGTGGCTGGTGGTCGGAACCTGTGCCGAAGCTCGGCCAGGTTAGCTAGCCTCCTCAGGATGGAGGTCTAGAGTAGGGGAAGTAGGGTGTTAACGTGAGGCGTTAGCTGGGGAACACTTCCCCCGATAAAACGGATGAAGAGGCCGGTTACCTCTTCGAGTGTCAGGGTCGCTAATCTGCTGTAATTGAAGTTACCTGTAATAAATACGTGTTGCCTCCATCAACCTTCTCCGTCGTCTTATTAGGCCACTACAATTGCATTCGGGAGTTGCATGCTTTCCTCTGCTGAACAATGCTATTGGATCACTCGTAGAAAACTCTTGGCAGTAGTTAATTTTGTCAGATTATTTCGGCCCTACATATATGGTTGCTGGTTTACCATGCGGACCGATCATATGGCATACAATTCTCACTTAAAATGGATAAACCCTGGGGACAAATGGCGAAAAACTCCAGGAGTACTCTTACGATGTGACACATAGGAAGGATACTCGTCATTGTAATGCTGACGCCTTGTCAAAATTGCCATGCAAAGACCCAAGTGCATGTGCTACGGGAGCAGCACGGTGTAAAGCGACTCTCCCTGACTCGCCGAGACAGGTGACGTCGATAAATGCAGCAAAAATAGAAAAGCATTTACTGTACGCAGATCATGATCTCGGGCTGATGAGGACTGAATGGATCCGATTGCAAAAAGAAGATGAAACTACAGTCCTTCGCTGCACAAGCAGCTGAATGTGCTCAAATGATGAAAAGGGGGCTCCATTTATCACATGGGGAGGACTTCTGATGAGGTGGAACGCGAAGATGCAGCATCATTGCCTAGTGGTGTCGAAACCCTTGCGGCAACAGTTGCTACGTGAAGTGCAAGCGGAACAACTAATGCACTTGGGACACCGAAAAACATTGCTCACGCTGCAGGCTCGATATTATCAGCCAGGGATGTCGAAGGATGTACGCGAGTGGGTAAATTGTTGTCAGGAGTGTGCGAAAAGGAAACCTCCCCAACCCATACAGCCTCTACGGCAGTCGATCGCAGTGTAAAGTTTAAACGAGCTAGTAGCATTGGATATCCTGGATCCATTTCCGAAAACAGCAATGGGAAATAAATGTTTGCACGTGGGGACGGAGTATTGCATACGCTGGCCCGTAGCATGACCGATACCAGACCAAACGGCTGCGACCATAGCAGAAACCTTTCTCCATAGCTATGTATTGAACAAGGGCCCCCCAGGGGTCTGAATTTTTTGGCTAAACTGTTGCGAAATGTCTGTGATATCATGGGCATTAAGAAAATTCGAATGTCACCATACCACCCGCAGTGTGATGGACAAGTCCAGAGGCTTAACCGCACGCTGTCCGCAATGTTGTGCCTTTTTGTAAATGATGATCAGACGGACTGGGACTTGCACATTCCGGGGTTCCTAGGGGCATATCGCTAGGCACCACATGCATTGACCGGGCTTTCCCCCTTCTTTGTGATGTACGCGAGAGACCCTGAGCCACTTATTGAGGACCAGGTGGTGGCTCTCCTTGCTAAAGCTGTTTCGTGCTCAGCCTCCCTCAGGCTTGCACTAGAAAGGCTTCGTGAAGCTCGCGAAGCCGCGATAGCGGAGTCGGGCTATTATTCCTCACAAACTTTGCTTTTGTGACCAGGACAGTGATATTTTGAAATTTACCTATTTTCCAGAACATTCCAGATATGTTCAGTGCTGAGTAAATTTAGAGTAACTTCTAGAACATTCTATAACTTTCCAGTATAATATAAATAGTAGTATAAATACAGGGGCCTTACGCCCACCAGTTCAGTTTAGTTCCAGCTGCCTAAGTGGATACATATCGATATTTTTCTGAGATGGCATCCGGCAGATGCATTTTGCTATGTCTGCGGCCAATTTATCAAGACAAGAACAAAAAAGGACTCTGTGGAAGCATCTGCTAAGATGTGTGAGGCCTACAAGGAATATTTCGGCATGCCTGTCGGGGATCAAGACAAACCCTGGGCACCTAATTTCAGCTGCGAGCAATGCAAAAATACTTTGGAAGGTAAGATGGACAATTGTTACTCGGAATTTTATGTTATAAAATTTGTTCTATTTTTTTAAGTTGTAAAAGTTTTTAATTTTCAAATGTTTTACAATTTTCAATGTTATTAAAAAATATATATCATATATGAAAAATGTTGCGAGAATTTCTTACACATTAGTCATAGGTGAAATAAATGTATTTTTGTAGGATGGTACAGAGGGGAAAAGAAAGCCATGAAGTTCGCTATCTCAAGAATTTGGCGGGAACCCACTGACCACTCCATCAACTACTACTTCTGCATGGTGGACCCTTCCAAACGTCGGACTGGCAAAAATGCACCTTCTATCACGTATCCGGACCTTCCTTCATCCATTGCCCCGATGCCACACTGCCATGAGCTACCCATACCCACTCCTCCGGAGAGAGAGCAGCCGTCTTTAGAAGAGAGCGATGAAGACGTATATGCAGATGACAATTTCAGAGGTACAGCTGAGGAGAGAAACCCATACTACCCCAACCAAAAATACCTCAACGACTTTATCAGAGATTATGGTCTCACCAAGTCCAATGCCAAGCTTTTGACGCCCAGGCTCAAGCAGTGGAACTTGTTGGATGAAAGTGTGCAAGTCGCAAATCAGAGGAAGCGTCACCAACCTTTTTGCAGCTTCTTGACCCATCAAGATGGGCTCTGCTTCTGCCACAATGTGACCAGTCTGTTCGAGGCAATCGGAATCGTCTGTAACCAGAATGAGTGGCGCCTCTTAATTGACAGTTCATCCAGGAGCCTCAAAGCCATGCTGCTCCATAATGGTAACAAGTACCCGTCTCTTCCCCTGCCTCACACGGTGCACCTCAAAGAGGATTACAACAGGATCAAGACTTTGCTGGACGCCTTAAAGTATGATGAGTACGGCTGGGAGGTCATCGGAGACTTCAAAATGGTGGCATTCCTGATGGGTTTCCAAGGCGGTTTTACCAAGTTTCCCTGCTATCTTTGCCTTTGGGACAGCAGGGACACCAAGGTGCACTACCACAGGCGGGACTGACTACAATAGACTGAGTTCTCTGTGGGGAGGAACAACATCAAGTGGAAGCCACTGGTGGACCCCCAGAAGGTGCTGATGCCACCACTGCAATTTGTCAGAGCTGTAGAGAAGGAGTCGGCAGCCTTCAAATACCTTTAAGACTTCTTCCCTAAGCTGTCTGAGGCAAAGGTCAAAGCCGGTGTCTTCGTCGGACCACAGATAAAGAAGATCCTGGAGTGCAATTAATTCCCCAAGAAGCTCATTAGTCAGGAGAAAGCGGCTTGGAACAGCTTTGTCGCAGTGGTTCGTGGCTTCCTGGCAATCACAAGGTCGAAAACTATGTGGAGCTCGTTGAGACTCTGGTGTAGAACTATGGCACAATGGGCTATAGGATCTTGATTTAAAGCTTTCGGGACTGCAGGAATTTATATTTTTGGGTCTTTCGGTAAAGTCACGTAGATTGGTTCAAATAAAATACCAAAAAATAACAAAACCTATGACGTTTCGATCGCAACACAAGCATTCATCATCAGGAAGAACAAAGAGGGGGACAGCTGCTGAGGCAGTATTTTTTCTTCCTGATGACGAACGCTTGTGTTGTGATTGAAACGTCATAGTTTTTGTTATTTTTGTTATTTTCTTTGAACCTATCTACGTGACTTTACCGAAAGACCCAAGGGCTGTAGGATGTCCCTCAAAGTCCATATCCTTGATGCTCATGTTGATAAATTCAAGGAGAACATGGAAGCGGACTCGGAGGAGCAAGGCGAGCGCTTCCACCAGGATATACTGGACTTTGAATGCTGCTACCAAGGACAGTATAACGAGAACATGACGGGAGACTACATTTGGGGGCTGATTCGTGAAAGTGATTTACAGTATAATCGTAAATTTCGAAAAAGTACTCGCTTCTCAAATTTTTGTCGTAATTTTTATATTACTTTTGTAGTAAGTATATGGAGGCTTGACGACAGGATCGGAGACACACTTATTTATTACACCAACACAGTTATTACAGGTCACTTGGCTACAGGGATTTCTCGACAGCTAACCCCTCTAACCTATACCAATTCCTCCACTACGGGACTAGGGGAGGCTATCTGTCCCAGCTTGGTTAAGCTGGGATCCCGGCTCCCTGAGTCACCAGACCAGCTTCGTCTGGGCTCTCGGGGCCACGCCACCGGCTTGCCCTGGTCGGCCCTTATAAGGACAGCGAGCCAGGGGAGCTCTGGGGCCTACACTAGCAGGTCTTCCGTCTTCTCTGGTTAAAGCTGAGTCCCGACCTCGAGCCCTCGAGCTCATCACCTTTTATAGGACTCCCCCCGAGGGGGGGCCCGTGGGGGATGCACATTCGGACGTCGGTGCGAGCGCCACCCTTGTGTACGGCCGTAACCCCGCCCCTTGTGTTTGTTGGCCATCCGTGGCCATGCATAATCACACCTCAACATTCGTAGCCATGCGCAATTACACCTCTACATCACCCCCCCTTGTACAGCTCGCAGCCGTCCCTGGCTGCAAAAAAAACGTGAATAAAGGTGCATTCCTCACGAAAACCCCGTGTGTGTGCCTCGCGTAATTTTTAACAAGAACAAGAGAATCTTAACAAGAACAACAACAGGAAGAGAGAGAGAGAGAGAGAGAAAAAAATAACCCGACGCGCTCCCCCCGAATAAACACCCCAAAACCAACATATATACACACTCCGGACGCCACCCCTCCCATTGTCCGCAAGGCCCCCCAACGGCCGACCTCACAACAGTCTGCGCGTTTTGGCGCGCGTTCTCGCGGCGGGCCCGTCACAAGGGCCCGTCCCGGCACGCTCAGTGACGGTTGTTGACGGTCCGGGTACAAGAGAGTCAGGCGTCGCTGCCGAGTGACCCCCGACCCCTCCGGGAGGGGTTGGTGGGTGTGGACCCGTCACTCCTGTTGCACCTGGGGACGGAACAGTTGATGTCAAGTTAGGCGAGTGCAGCGACGTCGGGGAGTCGGCGGAACCCTCACACGTTTGGCCATGCGTGTGTGCGTGTGAACCCCGGGGCGGCGCGATGAATGGTTTCAACCTTGAGGGGTGCACATACCACCGGCGCCTCCCCCATTTGACGCGAACACATTGCGGCCGCAAGACCTGTACGACCTCCACTGGCCCCCGCCACGGCCGTACCAATTTTGACGAGGTTGCCAGCGGCACCTGGGGACAGTGCAACCACGCCTTGTCCCCCGGTTTCCATTTGACCACCTGTACCCGCCCCAACCGAAGCCTCTCGTTCGCCTTCTGGCGGAGATCAGAATTTTGCGCGGCCGCTTCCCGCGCCTCAGACAATTTGCTGATGTTAAATTTAACGTGTTCGGACAAGTTAGACTTCGCCTGGGGCGCCGAGAGCTTGAGCTGGGTCGCCACAGGGGGGTTAGCCTCGCGCCCATACATTAAAAAGAAAGGGGAAAACCCGGTGGCCGCATGGGGAGCCATTCTGTAGGCCTGCAACACCCCGGCTATACGAAGGTCCCAATCCGTCTGGGATACAGACACCTGCTGGGACAGCATAGACGTGATGGTCCGATGCAGCCGTTCCACCATCCCGTCAGTTTGTGGGTGATACGGAGAGGTCCGAACCTTCTCCGTACCCAAGAGGTCGCACACCTCGCGTAGGAGTTTACCAGAAAAATTCCTACCCTGGTCAGTAAGCAGCCGTTCCGGAGCACCCTTGTCGAGGACATAGCCCTGGACAAAGGCCTCCGCGATGGCTGCTGCCGACTGGTTGGCCAGGGGCCAGGCCATAGGCCATCTCGTGAAGTACTCGACCCCCGTTAATAAATACCTATTGCCCCTGGGCGTAGCGGGAAATGGGCCGAGTATGTCCAGAGCGACGAGCTCGTTAACCCGGGAAACCTTTATGGACTGCAGCGGAGGGTTGGACCCCCTAGCAGGTGGCTTCCTCTGCGCGCATTGCGCGCACGACCCCAGGAGATCCCCCACGTCCTTTGCCATGCCCGGCCAGAAGAAATCTAGCTGGAGCGTGGCAAAGGTCTTGTGAACCCCCAAGTGCAGAAGCCGCTCATGAACAGCCCATACCACCTTACCCCTTAATGCTGCAGGCACCACGAGCCGCTGGCGGCGGGTTTTTCCATCCCAGTGCATTAAAAGACCCTGGAACAACCCCTACGAGTCAACGTTCGCCACCCCCTGACCAGCCCCCCCGACGCGACGGCGCAGAGCGAGGAGGGAGGTGTCCTCCATTTGGAGGCGTCCCCATTCCGCGACCGACAACCCCAGCAACGAATCCCTCCCTTCTTGCTCGATAGGACCCGAAGCTGAAGGCGCATCGGTAGCGGCCACGAGGACCGAATCGGTGGTGACGTTCGGGGGCCTACAACGCCCCGAACCCAAGAGGCACGCGCACTCCGAAGTGGGTGGCAATCGTGACAGGGCGTCAGCGTTCGTGTGGCGGACACCCTTACGATATGTGGTGACAAAGTCATAGTCTTGGAGAATCTCCAACCATCGAGACAACTGGCCCGATGATTGTTGAACCCGCAGGGCGTACTGTAGTGCCGCATGATCTGTACGGACGGTGAACCGCCGACCGTACAGATACGGGCGGTACTGCTGAATAAAATAAACAATCGCCAATAATTCCCGACGGGTAACGCAGTACCGCTGTTCGGCTGGAGACAGTACCCGACTACCGTAAGCCACCACATGCTCTACGCCCCCAATGAGCTGGGACAGCACGCCCCCGATGCCCGTGTTACTTGCATCTGTATCGAGCAAGAAGGGTTGTGAAAAATCGGGGTAATTTAACGGCGGAGCCCCCACCAAAGCATTCCGGAGGGCGCGAAAAGCAGCCTCTTCCTCCGGCCCCCAATGAAACCTGACTCCCTTGGACGTCAAGGCATGCAATGGTTTCGCAATCGTAGCGAAGTCAGCCACAAATCGTCGATAATACGATGCGAACCCAATGAAACTCCTGACCTCTCCCACCGAGGTGGGAGTCGGCCAGGAGCTGACGCATTCCGTTTTGGCGGGATCAGTGGATATCCCCGAGCGCCCAACAATGTGACCCAAATATCGCACCGATTCGCGGAGTAAATGGCACTTCTGCGGTTTAAATTTCAAATTGGCAGCCCGCATTTTGAGAAAAACAGCACGCAACCTCTGGAGGTGTTCCTCGAAGGATTTGCTAAAGACGATGACATCGTCTAAGTAAATCAAACACGAATCCCATTGCAAACCTGCCAAGACCAATTCCATTAACCGCTGAAAAGTTGCCGGCGCAGAATGTAAACCCATCGGCAAGCGGTTAAATTGGAAGAGACCTTGCGGCGTACGAAAAGCAGTCTTAGGTTTTGATTCGTCATCCAGAGGAAGCTGCCAGAATCCAGATAGCAAATCGAGGGTGGAAAAGAATCACGCCCCTGCCAAGGCATCGAGCGACTCATCCATTCGAGGAAGCGGGTACGCATCTGCCACAGAGATTTTGTTCAGACGCCGAAAGTCGACACAAAACCGCAGTGAGCCGTCGTGTTTTTTCACCAAAACGATCGGCGCGCCCCACGGACTGTTGGAAGGGGAAATGATATCGGCGGCTAGCATGTCATCAACAGCCGATTTGACATGATCCTTTTCGGCGGGACTCAACCGAAAGGGATTTTGGCGGATTGGCGCGCTGTCACCCGTGTCAATATGGTGTCGCAGCAATTTGGTCCAACCAATATCAAATTTGTGTTGACTAAAAACGTCAGCAAATTCGCTCAGGAGAACTCGCAGCTGCGCGCGCTGCGAGTCGGACAGGTCCACTGAACCCGCGCAAAGCGCATCCAGCCATCCGTCATCACAGTCCGAATGCGGTCGCGACGGAGGATCGGTGGATACCTGACCCACGAGTGGTTCCTCATAGGGTACCGGCGTTGCGTGTGCAAGCACGGTCCCTTGAGGAACCACGGCCGTTCGCGATCCCACATTAAGGACTGCAATGAAGGGGTCCCCATCCCCTCTCACCATGGTCTGAGCCGCGAGCAAATCGGGTCCATTGACCCCGGCCCGAGATGGTCCCAACAAGACCCCCCTATCCGCAACCCCTTCATTAAACGGCCGACGCAACCTAAGAGGGACGAGCATCTGAGCCCCCGGAGGTACGTGCACAGTTTTTGTCACGAGCGCCTGCACGGTGGCAAACGCCCGACGCTCCGTGGTGGGGGAAGACAAAAAAGTAACGCGTCGGCCCGATGGGAGCTCAATGCACCCCTGGTCAATCAGGATACGGATGGGCATTTTGGCCAAGAAATCCGTCCCCAACAGGCACGGAACCGCGAGTGAGGAGGAAACCAAAACAGGCCCGGATAATTTAATGTCTCCGATGCAGATAGTGGCGCGGATTTGCCCAATAATGCCCAGCGAGCCCCCGTTAGCAGCATAGCATGGCACGTCAACAGGAAGCAAGGGACGACTTTGAACGGGAAGGATGTTATGAATCAAATCAGATATAATGGTCGCCGATGCCCCTGTGTCAATTAAAATCCGCACCTCTACCCCATCAATGTGACCGACCACAACCGATGATCCCGCCGACGCAGCAACGACACGATGGGCGAGCTCCGACCACTGACCTGGTTGGAGCGCTCGCCGCATTACAGAACAATCGCGCGCGACGGACGGGGAATTTGGAGCCCTGTTTAGTTGAGCACGTGAGTGTGTGTCGGATGTGTGCGTGGGCCAAACATGTGAGGTGCCGCGACTCGCCGTATTTCTCTGCTGGAGCTTGGGAGGAGACGGCGTGGCGTCCTGGCGAGGTGTCGCCCCGCGCTGACGGGGAGCCCGGCATCCTGACGCAACGTGGCCTTGCAGGCCACAGTTGTAGCAGCGTGTGAGCGCCCCAGATGTCCTGGGCTGCTCCTGGCGGCTCGGTCCATTCCGAGCCTGTGGCGCCGCCGATCTCCATTCCCCTCGCCGCTCCACCCCGCAGACCTCCTCCGACGGGAGGGCGGTGGCCGCCATGGCATGGCCGGCCGCTCCCTTTGCCGCCTTTCGACGTAGGGACCGCAAGCCCCCGTGTATGTGGCGCGCAATCAGCAGGGACGACATCTCCGCGTCGTCTTGAGCCAGGACGTTGACGTCCAGCTCATCAGCGAGTAGCAGCAGCTTCTCAGCCACCATGGCATCCACTCCTTCCTCGTCCATCCTTGGAAAAGCAGCCTTCGCCAGGGCTAGGAGAGCCGTCCGGAAGGCCAGGGGCGATTCGTTAGCGCCCCGATGCCGATCGTGGAACAGCTGCCTGCAGTCCGAAGGCGGCCCATAGACAGCTGACAGCAGCTGCAACGCCAGGTGTAGAGTGGCGCGCTTTTCCCTAGGCGTCGAGGTGAGGGTAGCCAGAGCGTCGTTGTCCAGCATCGCCGGCAGCGCGCGTAGAGCCTCGGCGTCCGTCCAGTTCGCCATCTCTTGATGAGCGATGAACCGCCTCTTGAAGCCGCCCCAGTCTCCGTCTGTGCCTACGAATTCTTTCAGAGGCGGCAGACGCTGCTGTAAGGCGACGTCCGTGGCTGCAGATCGCTCTCCGTCGCTCCCCGCCGATGATACAGTGTGGGCGGGCTGTGCGCATGGCATCGCCGGTCGCTCTGATGTTGACGCGCTGGCCGGTGTTGATGATGTCACGGCTTGTGCTTGGCGCTCAGCAGTCACGTGACGTGGGCCGGCCCCGCCGTCCGCTCGCACTGTAGTGATGGCGGGAAATTTAACCGCGAGCCGCGTCGGGGTGGCGGGAAACGTCGCCGCGCGCCGGCTGCTGTCGTCGACCCGCGCTGCCCCTCCAGCCCCCAGCCGCGTGATCTCCTCCAACGCGGCGGCCGCGGCGTAGAGCAGTTCCGCCAGGCGGGAGTGGGCCAGCCGGAGTCCTTCAGCCGACGCATCCCCCCCCTCTTGTCGTAGCGGCGCGGGCGTACTCGGCCCCGGCTGCTCCGATCCGACCCCGGCCATCTCTGGTGTTGATTCGGCCGCGGCGTCTTCCATCTCCGACTCCTTGGTACGTGTCGTCCCTCGTGTGTCCATCGTTGGACGTTTTACTTCTGACACCAGATGTAGTAAGTATATGGAGGCTTGACGACAGGATCGGAGGCACACTTATTTATTACACCAACACAGTTATTACAGGTCACTTGGCTACAGGGATTTCTCGACAGCTAACCCCTCTAACCTATACCAATTCCTCCACTACGGGACTAGGGGAGGCTATCTGTCCCAGCTTGGT